CAACACAAATAGGGACAAGGGACAAGACGCAGCCTTGGCGGAGACCAGTGCGAACGCTGAATGGTTTCGACTTAACGCCATTAACTCTGACACAGCATTTGGTATCAGAATACAGTGCTTGGATGGCCCTTAGCAACTGACCATCAATCCCGTGTGCACGAAGGCATGTCCACAGACTATTTCGTGGGATCCCGTCATGCGCTTTCTCCAGGTACACAAAACACATGTACGCACGAATGGGCGTACTTCATGATTTCTCAACAATCTGGCGCATGGCAAATGTATGGTCATTGGTGCTTCGACCGGGCCGGAAGCCACACTGCTCCTCTTGGATCTTGAGGTCATCTATTTCACGGCACCTCCTTTCTAACACCTTTGAGTATACTTTAACTGGGAGGCTCAATAACATTATGCCCCTATAACTGGAGCATTCCTAGTGGTCTCGCTTCTTGAATACGGGTACAATAACTTCCGTTCTCCAGTCCGCTAGTGTCTTTCCCGCAGTTATCGCAGTTTAACAGACACGTGTTACCCAGCACATGCCTTGTTCGTCTAATGCCTTCAGCATCTCAGGGCAGATTTCGTCAATTCCAGCAGCTTTTCCATTTTTCAAGCTTATCACAGCTTCTGCCATTTCATCTACAGAGATAGTAATATCCGTACCCTTCTGCTCTACAGGCGAGTCTTCCTGCTTTCGGCGCGGGGTTAAGGAGTTCTTCAAAGTACTCCCGCCATCGCCGAAGAATGTCATCCTCCTTGGTAAGAGGGTGTCCAGTTCTGTCTTTCAAGACTGTGAGACTGTCCGTTTTTCACCTCGGAGCGGGCGAATGGTCTGCCAGAGTAATTTGTTTGCCGTGTGGAAATTCGACTCGAACACCTCTCCGAACTTCTCCCAGGAATCAGCTTTGGCTTTTGCCACTGTTATGGCTGCCGCCTTGAGTGCCTCGACATATCGCATGCGAGTAAAAGGCTCTTTGTTTCCAAGCTATTTCTTGAACTCTGCTTTCTTCTCTGTAACTGTGAGTTGCGCCTCGCGTGTCGACGAAGAAACTCTTTTCTGACCTTCAGAGGCAGGCCAACCTGTTTAAATTCGCAGCATTCGGCGGCAGCCTCGAGTGTGCTGCTCAAACAGAGCTGTCACTCGGTTTCAACATCAGTTGTCATCGCCGGGATCTGTTCAAGCCATGGTGCGATGTTGTTTTCAAATTTGTCTCTAATGTCCACCGAAGATAATGTTTCCCATTTGATTCTCCGGTTGCTTCTGCCATGAGATCTTCGTATGGTACTCTATTTCTTACAACATAGCGTGCCAACAACAAGGTGTTGATCGGTTGATAGCTCTGCGCCTCTCTTAATATGAACACCAATTACCGAGCGTCTTAAGACAGATGATACGACTATCAAATCGATCATCGACTTCTGTGCACAAGCTTCCCGGTACCAGGTGTACTGATGCACTT